AAAACAAAACTTCAGGCCAATATCCATGATGAACATAGATGCAATAATCTTCAATAAAATACCTGACAAGGCAATTGCAACAACACATCAAAAAGCTTATCCACCATGATCAAGTAGGCTTCATCCCAGAGATGCAAGGCTGGTACAACAAACACAAGTCTATAAATGTAATTCACCACATAAACAGAACCAAAGACAAAAACCACATGGTTATCTCAATTGATGCAGAGAAGGCCTTTGACAAAATTCAACAGCCTTTATGCTAAAAACCCTCAATAAACTAGGTATTGAGGGTATCTCAAAATAATAAAAGCTATTTATGACAAACCCACAGCCAATATACTGAATGGGCAAAAACTGGAAGCATTCCCTTTGAAATCTGGCACTAGACAAGGATGCCCTCTCTCACCACTCCTATTCAATATAGTACGGGAAGTTCTAGCCAGAGCAATCAGGCAAGAAAAATAAAGGGTATTCAAATTGGAAAGGAGGAAGTCAAATTGTCTCTATTTGCAGATGACATGATTGTATATCTAGAAGACCCCATTGTCTCAGCCCAAAAATCTCCTGAAACTGATAAGCAACTTCAGCAAAGTCTCAGGATACAAAATCAATGTGCAAAAATCACAAGCATTCCTACACCAATAACAGACTTAAAGAGAGCCAAATCAAGAACGAACTGCCATTCGCAATTGCTACAAAGAGAATAAAATACCTAGGAGTACAACTAGCAAGGAACATAAATGACCTCTTCAAGGAGAACTACAAACCACTGCTCAACAAAGTAAGAGAGGACACAAACAGATGGAGAAACATTCCATGTTCATGGTTAGGAAGAATCAATATCGTGAAAATGGCCATACTGCCCAAAGTAATTTACAGATTCAACACTATCCCCATCAAGCTACCAATGACCTTCTTCACAGAACTGGAAAACAACACCTTAAACTTCATATGGAACCAAAAGAGAGCCTGCATAGCCAAGTCAATTCTAAGCAAAAATAACAAAGTGTGAAGTGGGAGGCATCACACTACCGGACTTCAAACTATACTACAAGGCTACAGTAATCAAAACAGCATGGTACTGGTACCAAAACAGAGATAAAGACCAATGGAACAGAACAGAGGCCTTGGAGGCAACACAACATATCTACAACCATCCAATCTTTGACAAACCTGACAAAAACAAGCAGTGGGGAAAGGATTCCCTGTTTAATAAATGGTGTTGGCAAAACTGGCTAGCCAAATGCAGAAAGCAGAAACTGGATTCCTTCCTGACACCTCATGCTAAAATTAACTCCAGATGCATTAAAGACTTAGACATGAGACCTAACACCATAAAAACCCTAGAAGAAAATCTAGGCAAAACCATTCAGGACATAGGCGTAGGCAAGGACTTCATGACCAAAACACCAAAAGCATTGGCAACAAAAGCCAAAATAGACAAATGGGACCTAATCAAACTCCACAGCTTCTGCACAGCAAAAGAAACAGTCATTAGAGTGAATCGGCAACCAACAGAATGGGAAAAAATTTTTGCAGTCTACCCATCCGACAAAGGGCTGCTATGCAGAATTTACAAAGAACTAAAACAGATTTACAGGAAAAAAAGAAACAAACCCATTCAAAAGTGGGCAAAGGATATGAACAATTTACAAAAGAAGACATACATGAGGCCAAAAAACGTGAAAAAATGCTCATCATCACTGGTCATTAGAGAAATGCAAATCAAAACTACATTGAGATACCATCTCACGCCAGTTCGAATGGCGATCATTAAAAAAATCTAGAGACAACAGATGCTGGAGAGGATGTGGAGAAATAGGAACACTTTTACACTGTTGGTGGGAGTGTAAACTAGTTCAGCCATTGTGGAAGACAGTGTGGGATTCTTTAAGGACCTAGAAATAGAAATTCCATTTGACCCAGCAATCCCATTACTGGGTATATATCCAAAGGATTATAAATCATTCTACTATAAGGACACATGTACACGAATGTTCATTGCAGCACTGTTTACAATAGCAAAGACGTGGAACCAACCCAAATGCCCATCAATGATAGACTGGACAGGAAAAATGTGGCACATATACACCATGGAATATAATGCAGCCATCAAAAACGATGAGTTCGTGTCCTTTGTAGGGACATGGATGAACCTGGAAACCATCATTCTCAGCAAACTGACACAAGAGCAGAAAATCAAACACCGCATGTTCTCACTCATAGGCGGGTGTTGAGCAATGAGAACACATGGACACAGGGAGGGGAGCACTACACACTGGGGTCCGTTGAGGGGAAATAGGGGAGGGACAGTCGGAGGTGGGGAGTTGGGGAGAGACAGCATGGGGAGAAATGCCAGATATAGGTGAAGGGGAGGAAGGCAGCAAATCACACTGCCACGTGTGTACCTATGCAACTATCTTGCATATACCCCAAAACCTAAAATGCAATGAAAAAAAAAAATGAACCAGGTACCTCAGTTGGAAATGTGGAGATCACCCACCTTCTGCATCTATCTCGCTGGGAACTGTGCAGCAGAGCTATTCTTATTTGGCCATCCTGGCAGAAAATCAGGGCTTGTTTTCTTATAGGTAAATTATTCCCTATCTTATGAGAGTGTCAGAAATAAATACTGTTTTCAGAAGAGTCCGGCAAGGTTTCCCGGCAATTGTAAGTTATCATACTTTTACAGCCAGCTGTAAGGCTGCAGGGTGGGACTGCTTCTGATCCCAGCTGGCTTCCTACACATTAACTTTAAATCAGATATTGATTTTTCCCTCAAGAATTTAGCTTTTTCTCTCCTTCCTAAGGAATAGCACAGGCTATTTCCATTTCCAAGGGAGGTGGCAGTTACACTGGAAACAAGGTGCTGGTGGGCACCTCGGCCTGTCTATTCTACTAAAGCCTCTCTTGGATCTGGGGAAGGACATGCCAGTGGTGGCACTTGAATTTGGCAACTAGAGACTGCCATAGATGATTTGTGCTGTCCTCCACCAAAAGGAAGAAGGGAGCTTGTTGAGAAGGTAACTTGGTCTCGCAAGGCTTAAAGAAAACCGTCTTCTGCATCAACAAAAAACTATGTTTGACCACATATAACTATACCACAAAAGGTTAGATAATAGTGTCATTTTCTATCCATAAACAGACACTGTATTACATTTTACACATAATCCTTACACTTACCCTGAAAGATATGACTTCTATTACACACCTGAAGAAACTGAGCATTACAAATATTAAGTAATCTTCCCAAAGTCACACAGCTTGAGGCCTAACCAAAGTAAAATCTTAAGCTTGTCTGGCTTAAGTCCCCATTCTTAATCCAAATATGCCTGACAATAAGAATGATCTGGAATGGTTGTTAAAAATAGATTATGTGGGCTACACCCCAGACCAGCTGAATCAGGGTCTCCAGAGAAGAGGCTGGCTGGGGGATCCAATTTTTTTTTGACAAGCGCCTCAGGTGACTGCTACTGAGAAAGACCTCCCAACACCCCTGGGTTGTTTACCCCTGGCCTTTGACAATCATGGGAAGTGCTTAAGGCACACCAATCAAGGCCCCGGCCCTAAGCCATGCACTGTGCGTTCTTTCCCAAGTTCTGTCTTTGATAAAACACTTAACCCTGTGTAGCTCACACAGTTTTCTGAGCTATAAAGTGGAGATGCATCATAATATCTGCTCACATATCTCACAGGAATGCTGTGTGAATTAAATGAGAACACTGGTGAAGGTGCTTTGCAGAATGCTCACTGCGAGAAAATGTACTTCTCAAAGTTATTACAAACCTTCACATAATCTGTCACAGGCTTTTGTCGGTTGACCTGGGAATCTAACCATCCCTCTAATACGGTGTTCCATTCTAATATGGAAATGCATTCAGATTTCAAAATAATTCACCAAAAAAAATTGCAGAATTCAATTAGATTTTCAGCACTGCCTCTATTTAACTAAAGTTTTGTATTACAGGCCCAAGAATAGTGAACATATCATATGAAGTCTTTTCCATGAGAATAGGAAATGAACAGTTGATTTCACTTCTTGGTCTATTTTGTGTTGCTTTTAAATGAATCCTAATATTGTTAGATGAAAAGTGTAGACTCTAAAATGATATCTCTTTGGTCATTATTCCATTTGCTGAGGCTTAAAGAGACTGTCTTTGCAAGGGTCATTTAACTTGTAACAATGGTAGGTACAGGATTCAAACAGTATCAGACCCTAAATTCTGGGGATGTTCAAACAGTATCAGACCCCAACTTGGCCACACTGCTATATAAAATCCACATGCACACAGATGGATTAGCATGTTAACCCACGAAAACAAAAGCCATCACTGTGTTAGAGCAGAGGGATTGTGGCTGCTTTTTTCTTTAAGATAAAATGAATTATTGGTATAAAAATTGGGAGAAGAAAAAAGTTGCATTAAAAAATATACCTGGATTTTATGACTGCATATCAAGACTTATTTTGTTATAGGTTTTGGAGTTTAGATTCCATTCCTAAACCTTCATGGTCTCTGGTCCATGTGAAGGTTAAGGAAGAGAAAGAAATTTGGGTGGCAAGAAATCCACCGAAGTGTCCTCTGCTCCTGGCAGCATTAAAAAAAACTGCTGTCCTTCAAACATGATGATGAAGACATTAGTAGCTTTCCAGGAGTGGTGATGGATTTGCTCTCAGCCCTCTTAAATTCCCTCCCCATCTCCTTTTATATCAAGGAGGGCTGTTCAGGCATGGTGCTGCCAGTAAGGTGGCCATCCATATGAAGGGTGAACTTGGCACTTGCTGCCCATCCAACTCATGCCCCACCTCGCCAGCTGCTCGGGAGATGGGATAATCACATTCAGTACTTCTGAATGGTCCTTCTATAAGGACATCCCCTGACGGCCCCATAGAAAACTAAATGCTATTTATATCACTGGAAAAGCTCATCCTTCCCCAATCCATTCCTCCTTTAAGATGAGTTCCTTTCCCCAAAGTAACTTTTCTTCCTTTCTAACAGATATCTGCAAATGAAATAGAAATGCTTTTGATGAGGCTGCCACGCATGTTCAAACAGGAATTCACAGGCGTGGGAGCCACGCTGGAAAAAAGATGGAAATTGTGTGCCTTTGAAGGAATTAAAACTACCTAACTGTGAAGAAAAAAACATGTCTGGAAATGAAACCATGTGAACCTGGCCAGGCTGTGCAACGGGGGAGCAGGAGGTGTGGGATTGGTCCAGCACGCAACCTTTGTGGAAACATCGAAGCTTGCCTTTAGTTATATCTGTGGCGTTCTCTTGTGAGTGGAAATGTAATTGTGTACCAGTTCCTTAAAATAAACAAAGCTTCATACTGTGACAGATCTGTTTCCTATGAAAACCAAACAATGATTCCACAGTCATAATGATGGCAAAATTTTAAAATATGCTACATTTGAGAATAGCTCACCAAGCAAAATATTTAAAGTTAATGATGGTGTAGCGATGATTGTTGCTAGGCTACAGAGTTGTATATGTAATGTATAGCTGAAATCATTAAATGACATTTTCCTGAAAGTCTTTCTGTTTTAGTAAAAAAAAAAAAAAAAAAAGGAAGAAAAAAATAATTTTACAGTAAGGGAAAAATCATACCAAAAGAAAACTTGAATATGTGTCTAAATAGTTATTGTATTTTGTAAATTAAGTTATATGCTGTTCCAGGGACTTTTGCCTTATTGAAGAGGCAGAAAATATGATTGGACACATTGAGAATGCTTTATCAAGAATATTATTTTTCTAATGTAACAATTCTCCATCATAAGTTCTTTTAACATGGACTGCATAACAATTTTCATAAAGTGTAAATAAAGGAAAAACTAGTGTTATTGTCTTGTACTTGGTATGTAACATTCAGGTTTATGCATCAAAATAAACATTCAGTAAATATTCCTGTTACAAATTTTATAGCAAAGATATTAATTTTTTTCAATAAATATGACTTCTACCATATTGGTTTTACAAATTATTCTTTGACATATTTTATTTCTCTCTTAAGAAATCTTTTTCTCATTATTTGGTCCCATCTCATATCCTACCATTTAAAAATGATTAAATACGTAAGTGACATTAAGAGCTAAGACATTATTTCAGATAGGAATATATAAAAATTATGGAGTGGATATTACCATGAAAGGAGATTATACAGCATTAGTATATAGCATTAGAATAGATTTTTAAAATAGGAGGATATAGCATCCACAAATAATAAACAAATTTTACCTTTGTTTTGTGTTCTCCTGGGCAGTTACAAAGTAGTCCATTAATCTCATTAACTCTTGGATTTATGCATTTGTATGTTTACTGGAAAACACATTAGAAAAGAAATTAAGGGCTCCACACTAGGACCAACAATTTAGATAGAATTTGGGCTTCCCCTCTTTATTTTAATAACAAATGGGATATGGCTTTTGGTACCCTTCCTGCTATCCTACATAAAAATCACAAAAAAGACAAGTATTCTTAATTGAAATTGGAACATTTTTTAGGAAGACAGCTAAACAGTTCATGTTCTCTGATATTATGAAAAGATATTCATAATTTCCTATTGGAATAATCCTTTATTGATACCTTTATTGATAAGTACCTTTACTGATCTCTGATAAACTAACTAAGGTATTTACTCATACCTCCCATAAATATCTACACATGTGTTTTGTTCAGGCTCAGGGTTAACACTAATGAATATAAAGATGAGATAGAAAAGACCCTTTTCTTAATGTGCTCAGAGTTCAGTATGAAGAAGACATTTTCAGCCAGGCACGGTGGCTCATGCCTGTAATCCCAGCACTTTGGGAGGCTGAGGCGGGTGGATCACTGGAGGTCAGGAGTTTGAGACCAGCTTGTCCAACATGGTGAAACTCTTTCTATTCAAAATTAAAAAAAAAAAAAAAAAAAATAGCTGGGCCTGGTAGCAGGTGCCTGTAGTCCCAGCTACTCAGGAGCCTGAGGCAGGAGAATCACTTGAACCTGGGAGGTGGAGGTTGCAATGAGCCAAGATGGTACCACTGCACTCCAGCCTGCATGACAGAGCCAAGAATCCATCTCAAAAAATAAGATAAAAGAAAAAGACATTTTCCCCAAAAGTTTATATACGATGTGATTCTTGGAACAAGAAAGATATGACAAGTGCTATGGCATTCAAACTATATGCCCATATCATATTAAACCCTACACGCCTTCCCTTACCATCAGTCCATGCCTACAGCCAGCATCATCCTAACATTTAGCTCCAAGTCAGGAGACACAAGTAAAGACACAATAGTTAGAAAGGAGAAGACATCATTTACAGATGCTGCTATTATTGTAAAATAGAAACCTAAGCAGTTCACCTGAAAAACAAGGAAAATAGAATTCAGTAAAGTGGCTAGTTATAAAGTCATGAAGTCTAATGAAGACATAGGGGAAGGTACCACAGTCTATGCTATTTCTAATGGAAAGCATGGTAGATATTTTCAAGCATGCATTGATAGTTTCCAGTATTACTAGCAGTCACTTTAGCAGGAAGACATTCTGCACAGGGTCAACCCTTAACTCTGAGCTTTGTGCTCACACAAAGCCGAGGACCTCATATTAGATCTGACAAAAAGATATCATTTCCAAACACATGGATCTGAGCTCTGTAGCACAACTTGGGGGGATGAAATGGTTAATTCAGCTTCCAAAAATATTACGGTCATTGCTGGAGATAGGCTTCTGCACTAGAAAAATCTATTTGGGCTGTAATTTTTTTATTTATACTTGAAATGAATTCTATTACTTGTCTAGAAATATATTGATTATGTATTTTAACTTCAATTATGTGAATAATTTGGTTTTGGATTTTTTTTTATCCTCTAAATTATTTCACAGACTCTCAAGTTCAGCTGGGACTTTAGAGCTCACCTGGGAAAGAACTAACATCAGTGCCTATGAGGGTGGTCTGGAGTCTATGTATATCTGTCACCTCATCTCCTTTAATCCTCCTGATAACCCTATATGAAGATAATATTATTATCCCCATTTGTCACACAAGGAAAATGAGGCTCAGAAGTTTTAAGTCATTTGGCCAACTTTGCAGTTAGTACATTTTGAATGGAGATTTGAACCTAAGGCTAACTGGCTCCCAAACATATTCTTCTTTTCGCTGGTCATACTTCTATTAATAGTTCAACCCATTCCACCCCACCTGTGAGCCCAGTGCCATCCAGTGCCTTTGGATCCCTTTTTATTCTCCACCATCCCTTATACATGGGCAGAGAGGTGAAGGCTCTTCATATCTTTCTCTCCTTAGAACAAGCACAGTATCGAAGGTTTGGAGATCCTTGTGATCTGGCCCCAAAGGGCCTTTCTAACAGTTGTCATTGTTTCCCTGAATATGGTTCATCTCTTTTCTTGCTTTTCTGCTTTTGCTCACCTATTTGAATGAAACCACCTTCGTCACATCTAGTTATCACAGTGCTACACAACTTTAAGTGGGAAATAAGCCTTCATGCCCCAGCAGAAGTCATTCGTCCTGCCTCTGCACAGTCATCTCACACTGACTGTTTTTTAAGGCACTTGCCACCCAGCTGTCCTTGCCCTATTATATTACAAGCTCTCTGATGGACCTGAACACATCTCATTTACTTTGAATTATTTCTCAAAGTGATTTTGCTTATAAATATTTAGAAAGTAGGACAGAAAGTGATCCAAGATGTTTTTCTGCCTCCAGGTACCAATTTGGCTATACATACCCAAGGGGAAAATCTTACAAAATATTTGAAAAGGCTGCAAATATCTTAGATTCAAGATTCCAAGGTGGGAAATGTGAGTGAGAATGTACTGCATATTATTGAGATAAAAAAATAAGCAACCCGATTCCTACTGAAACTTCAGACCCAGATCAATTATCAACTCTTCTATGAGGCCCTGATTCCCTCAGGAGCTCTTCTCCTGGGCTCCCCCTACTATTCATTACATTTCTATTGCAGCCCATTGACTGTATTTTAATCATTTTTTAATGTGGCTGTCTTTCCTCTCCTGCAGGCAGGAGACCTCCCTTACTTATCCCTCCAGTCCCTCAGAGTCTGACACGACATATTATTACTTATAAATAAATATTTATCACATTAATGAAAGAAGAACTCACAGGAACTTTCTGAAGTTGTTGAATCAGAATATATTCAGGCATTAGGTCCAGCAATAGAGGCTAGAACTTTACGTCTCTCCTTTGTAATATCTTGGCAAAACCCTTATTTTTCTATTTTAATTTTTTGTTGTGGTAAAACACTTATCAATTTAGCCAGTCATAGTGTACAATTCTATGACATTAAATGCATTCACAGTATTATGTAACCAATCATCACTATTTATACCCAAAACTTTTACGTTATCCCCAACAAAAATTATGTACTCACTAAACAATAACTCCTCGTCCTCTTCCCCTTCTAACCTCTGGTGACTGCCAGGCCCTGCGCCTCCATCAATGTGCCTATTCTAGGCATCTCATGTAAGTGCAATCATACCACATTTGCCCTCTGTGTCTGGTTTCTTTCAGTCAGCATGGCGTCTTGAAGGTTCATCCATACTGTAGCATGTATCAGAATTTCACTTATTTTTAAGGCTGAATAATAGGCTGCGTAAGAAAAACAAGTTGCTTTTTCTTGGTAAGGGTCGGGGATGTTTTACTTTGAGGTTGGTTCTTTTTTTTTTTTTTTTTTTTTTTGGTGGTGGGGAGGGGATTATAGCCCTTTTCAGAAAATGGCTACTGTGTTTATTTATTGGACTCAATAAACGGTGGTTTATCCCCAAAACATAAGACCTCTTTTACCATAATACTCAATTTCTTCCCATAAACTGAGAAAATAGAGACATCGGATCTCTACAATCTTATAGCTTGACTTATTTTTCATCAACATGGGAAAAAGTTCACATGCATATTAAATAAGACTGTCATAAGCAGCTGAAGAAACTATCCTCTGCAGCGCACCAAAAAGGAGCATTTTAGACAAGTTACAGTGAATGTGTTTATACAGTAGATCACTGCGAATACTGTCTCTCTAGTTCTGCCACCTCCAATTTCCTCCTCTACTTGCAAGTGGACTTTTTTTTCATTCCCAGGCTTCAGATGTTTGGAAATGTCTCATACTGTGTAGGCGAGCACTCAGGCGGTACTGCAGTCAAGCCCAGCCCCAACATTCACTGACCTTGTGGCCAGGGCACGTTCCTTACCCACACTGAGGTGCTAGTCCCAGATCTATAATAGGGGAATGTTAATGCCTACATCACAGGGTGATGATTAAATAAGACAGCATGCAAAAGCACCCCCTAACACTGAGCCAGGCAGACTGAAGACATTTGTTTCTACAAGAATAGTACTTCAACTACATCATTTCCAGCAAAGGGGACACGCCCTTAACCTGCTATCCGCCTATTCCTGTTCCTGACCACCGACAGTCAATCTTATGCTTCTAAATACAAGGATAAAATAAGTATAAAGCAAGCATAATCCCCACCAATCGTCCATTAAACATGTTCAAGTGTAAGACTGACATTAGCAAGATAATTGTAATTCTCTAACCTGCAGACTTCCACT